TTCCTACTATTGTTTAAATCTTTACCTCTTTGGAAACTCCTGGAACAAACCTCACGAAGATGTGAGATCTGCTTCAAGCCTGAAAACCTTTATGACTCCTGTTATATCTCATGTATGTATTATTGTAGGGTCTACTTTACAATATAATGCCCCTTAAGGTGACTGTTGTTGTGATTTGCTGTATAAACAAAGTTAAATTGAATTTAAGGTTAAGCTTTTTGGGGCAAGTTAAGTTTTTACATCTAACTACATCTATAGTGTTTTAAACAGTAAAAGTTTATCTTCACTGCAACGATGCAGTGTAGAAGATGACCAAAGCTGATTCTTGATCAATATCTGATTATGGTTTCTGTTCAGTTCTTTGCATCAAAAACAATCAGAAAATAGCTTTAACTTCTTACAGCAGTCAAGGTCACATGACTTGTTTGCTTAGGTTTCTGCACAGATACAAAACTGTTTAAGTGCATTTGTGTTGTTTGGATCCCACTGCTACTCAACTTCCACGTCTGCACTTCCGGATTTTCTGAATCTAATTTTAGAAATCTTGCAGGTCATCTCAGTTCCCACCTGGCTGGTCCTCATGTGATAATTGTCTCCTCTTGCAGAGCAACAGCAATTTTCTGTAACCTGTACATTATTTTATGAGATATAAATAGTTTAACAGCGGTAAAGTATTTATATGATAAAAAATGATTTTTTTTTACTGTACAATCAAATTTACTTCTACTCTGAAAAGTTTTTAAAAAAACAGAGCTAGAAATGTCCTTGTTAACATTTGCTCTCAGATTTACTGCTGTCAGTGGACAGAAGCTAAACTAGTTTGAAAGCGTCTCACCTTGAGCCTTTTTATGCTTTTGACGAGCAGAGGCGCCGTTATCCCCACAAGCTTCTCCTGTCGTTTCAATGACAGCTTTTTAACACCATGAAAAAACTGAGGAAAAAAAATGTAAGAATCCCAATGTGGCTGAAACGTACTCCGGTGGAAAAACTTCCATAAAGAATGGCGAGATTAACAGAAAACACCGCACAGTACTGTGGACATTTTGAGACCCCTTCAGATGCTGTAAAAGATGACAGCAGCAGTAAGTGGTTTTTCAGAGTTGATGACGTGCAGCATCAAGGAGTTTGAAAGGAATGTACAGTTTCCACATCATTGTTGATGCTGCCCCAATCCATTTGTCAATCATGCTCCACTCGCCCCGTATTCGTGAAAAAGACCCCAAAATACTTGAACTGAACCATCTGGGGTAGTGACTTGTCCTGGACCCGGACTGGGTACGTCAACCATGAGAATCATGGTCTTGGCCTTGGATGTCCTTTCATTCCCGCTGCTTCACATTGGCGAACAGTGCACTGCTTCAGTGCAAGCAGGAGCCCACCACTCGATGAAGCCAACAGAAACACTGCAAAAAGCAAAGATAAAATCCTAAGGCCACCAAAGTGGAGACCATCCACCACCGGGACACGCCTGTTCTGTACAAAAAAACCCAACCAAACTGTACAGAATAGGCCTTTTCCGATTATTGCCTTCTCAAAGTCCACAAAACACAAGTAGACTGCTTGTGCAAACTGCCATGCACTCTAAAATATCCTTGCGGGGATAAAGAGCTGATCCAGTGTTGAAAACAGCATTGTTGCTCCTGTGTCCAAGATTCGGATGGGCTCTCCTCTCTGGCATAGACGTTCCTGAAGACGCTGATGAGTGCGATCCCCTTATAGTTCTAGTACCCTCTGCTCCCCCTTCTTAAACCAGGAAACGCCAATCCAGTCTGCAAGTTAAGGGACACCGCCCCGGAGCTCCTCACAACGTTGCACAGATACGTCAACTAGCACACCCAACATTCAGAGCCTTAAGGAACAACTATCCACCCCAGGGACTGTCCACCATCTTGTTCTGGGATTACCGCCACAAGAAGAACAAGTCACTGGTTCCATTATGTCCCAAACATCCAGAACTGGGTCGACCCAAAACAATCACTCACTGAACTCAGTTTTCTTCTTTTTGTCTGTAGGAATGATTAGTAAAAAAACTAAATGTATAAATGATTTGCATAAACAGGTTGTGCTTAGAACAATTTTTGGAGACATTCCTAACCATTGGAAGATGGAGGCATCTGCGCATTTCACAAATGAACATCAAAGACAAAAAACTCCCTGAATCACAATCACGTTGATGCTGTGAAGAAAATATAAACTAACCCAGATCCACATCACCTTTTGGATTCAGAGATTCATTTCTTGCATGGTATAGAGCAGGGGTCGGCAACCCACGGTTCCGGAGCCGCATGCGGCTCTTTCGTCTTTATTTTGCAGCTCCGGGTGGGAAAATAAATTATAAGTATTTAGCATAAGTGTATTTTATTTGTGTTTAGTTCTTTTTTAACTTGTAGTTCTAAATTGGAAGATTATTGTGATATTGAAATATAAAAATAAAATTATATTTTATTATTTTTTCATCGCTCAAATAAGCGTCACACTCGTGGAAGCCGGTGTACCCGCCGAAACGTCGTGCATTTATCGAGACTTTCAGCCCCAGGTAGGCCAATTCTGGATCTTTGGATCCACATTATGTCAGCAGCTGTTCTCCACCGTGAACTATGTTAAAAACAAACACCGCTCACGCCTCACAGACGACAGC